ACATAAGGAATAACTCTCAAGATGATTTCCAGCTATTGAACCAATGTGCAAATGTAGACATATACCACTGTACAGTCTCAAAAGTCACATTCAGTGATTTGCCTGGCATTCAAGAGGCCCTGGGGCCAGGCATGGTGGTACACACCTGTAATCCCAGCACTTGGGAGGCTGAGGCAGAAGGATCATTGTGAGTTTGAGGCCTGGGCTACAAAGTGAGCTCCAGGCCAGCCTGAACTGTACAGTGAGACCCTGTCTTAAAAAGACAAAAAAAAAAAGAGGTCCTGGGTTCAGTCCCGAGCACCACCCACCCTGCTTTATATTAATACTGTGTCACCATTCATGTCAGCTCTTTGAATATGACAAAATACCTGAGGATAGCAACTTACAGGATAAAAGCTTTACTTTGGCTCAGTTTCAGAGCATGCTTGGCTGGCTCCATTGCTTTTAGGCCTTGGGCAGGAACATCGTGGAAACTGAAGTTTTGCCATCAGCCTCATTTATCATATTTATGTTGCTAGAGGCGACTCAGTTTCAGCCAAACATCTTTAATTCTCTTTTTAAAAATTAATTAATTAATTCTATTTATTTGGCCTATTTTGAATTTGTATTTATGTGTGTTTAAATGAATATATCTCATGGACTTCTCAGTTTACTTAATTTGCAAGTTGCTTGCATACGTCCTAATATGGCATTACACATAAACTTGTAGCTGTTATACAGCTAGAAAGCCAAAGTATGTTAAATACCTGGAGAACAATAAAATCAAAACAAGCCAGGCATGGTAGCACACACCTGCATTCCCAGCACTCGGGAGGCTGAGGCAGGAGGATTGCTGTGAGTTTGAGGCTAGCCTGGGCTACAAAGTGAGCTCAAGGCCAGCCTGAACTGCACAGCCAGACCCTGTCTTGAAAAGACAATAATAATAGTACATACATACATACATACATAGATGAGTCTGGGGCACTGTGAAGAATTCCTGACCCAAGAAAGTTAGTGTGAGCAGGCAATGCGCGCTCAACCGCAGCTGGAGCTGGGGCGATGCTCGTGAGTCCCCAACCCTAGTGATGCCTTCATCACTGGCAGAGAACTCACACGGGCATGTGTGGCCATCTGCTGAGAAATATACAAGATCATTCACCCCTGAGCCCCTCTGACAAGTATGAATACAGGCACCTGTTTCACAAGGTGCACTTGGAAAATGGGGTAAAAGGGCACCTCTGTTTTCGGCAGAGAAGGTAGAAAAGCAGTTCATGCTTTTCACCTTCTCTCTCCTCTTCTGAGTCCATCCCCTTTCCCCTCTCCTTCCTACTGCTCCCCTCATTCCTTCTTCCCCTTCCCATTTGAAAAAGATCTGCCTACTTCCTGCATCTCTTCTCAGCCCCTCTGACTTTCTCCCCCTTTGTGCCCGGAGTTTTTGGAGGCACTGTTGCCTTGTCTCCTAATGTTGCTATGTTTTGTTTGTTTGTTCTCTGTACTGGGATTTGCTGGCTGGTTATGGTGGGTAGCTTCGTTGCAGAGATACCCTCCGAGTGTGGCTATTGGCCTTTGCTTCTGTCTCAGGATCCAGCTAGCTGCATTTACTTGGGAGGGGAGGTTGCAGATTATTTGGCTCAGTACCCATTTCTTTGGGAGTGGGCCACAGTACCGTTTATGAAGCCCAGGCAATCCAGACATTGGCATATAGGGGAAGCCAATTGACAGGAACAACTATTTCACCTTGGCTATAGTAGTAAGCTCAGCAACATCAGCAGCACCATGTATGAACTGGATACTGACAGACCCTAAGAACAACTCATGTACTACCCTTAACCAGAACAAAGAAGTCTATAATGCTCGTACAGAAGTCTGTAATGTTAGTACAGGCACTTAGGTAGCCCAGCTATTGACTTACATCCGGTCTCTGCTGGATGTGGGCAGTGGTGTGAGGGCTCAGGCAGACAGCTGGGCTCAGTGTACCCCCTTCAGCTCCAGCCCCTCTGAAGACATCGCAGTACTGATCGCAGGCCCGCGACCTTCCTGGCCTGAGATTCAGATTCTCAGGGGGCCTCAGGGCCTCAGCGGTAGGACTAGCCCTCACCCTTTCCTAGTCTGTGTCCCCTGGCTCTCTCTCACCATCTCTGCAGAAGGATAACACTTCAGTCCCAGAGTGAAACTGTCCTCAGGGTGCTGGTCTCACTCTCAACCAGGCGGGTCCTTTGGTTGTCACCTCTGCTGCTCTGTGCTGAGGAGAACCAAGGTGCAGACCTGGCTAGGAGTTGGTAGTTTGACTCCGGTAGTAGTGGGATGGGAAGGTCGGTGGGCTCCTCCTCCTTCCTGTATGGCTTGATGCAGCCCTGATCTCGTAAAATTGTCGAGTGCATTATTAATCATGCATATAAAGTACATAATGCTTGGAAAGGGCGCAGTAAATAATTGCTATTAACCAAATGCTCAGCAACTAAGAGCTCAATAAATGTTAGTTATCATGATTCAGATTTTCTTCTATTTTTAAATTTTATTTTAAAGAGACAGAAAAGTGCCTTTCCCCGCCCACCCCAGCCCTCTTCAGAACAGGAGGCTGAACAGAGAGATGAGTTATAGGAAGGAATGTGCTAACAAAAAGATGATCTCTGTGTTCTCTTCCAACTCTGATATTCATCTGGAAACATGCTGTGGGTTCAGCTGCATCCAGCAAAAGTCATATGTCAAAGTCTTACTCCCCTGTATGATTGTATTTGGAGACAAAGCCTATAAGAAGGTAATTAAGGTTAAATGAGATCACAAGGGTGGGGCTTAATATGACAGGATTAGATTTCTTATAAGAAGAGACATACAAGCCAGGCACGGTGCTGCACACCTGTAATTCCAGCATTTGGGAGGCTGAGGCAGGAGGATCCCTGTGAGTTTTAGACCAGCCTAGGTTATATAGTGAGTTAAAGGCTAGTCTGAACTACATAGCAAGATGCTGATTCAAAAGCAAACAAAAAGAAGGAAGGGAGAAGAAGGAGGAGAAAGAAAAGGAGGAAGATGGGAAGGGAAAGGGGAAGAGGAAGGAGAAAAAGGAAGAGGAGGAAAAAGAGGAAGAAGGGACAGGGGAAGAAGGAGGGGGAGGGAAAAGAAGATGAAGACAGACAGACAGACAGGGCTGGTGCATGTCCCGTCCTTCCCCTGCTTTCTTTCCTCTCTCTCATGAGAATACAAGGAGACCCTGGCTGTCCTCAAACCAGGAAAAGCACCCGCGCCAGAACCTGACCGTACTGCATCCTAATATCACTTCCAGCATCTACAACCGTGAGGAAATAAGTTTTTATCATGTGAGTCACCCGGTCCGTGGTGTTTTATCATGGCAGCCCAAGATGGGCAGTGGATAGTGCCCATAATTCCTTCTGTTGGCTTAAAGGACTCTAGGTTTATTTATGCTAGGCTCACTAATTCTGTTGCCATGGCGATGGGGTCCCAGGCAGGTTTCTTGATTCTTGTGCACAACAAAGAATGGGACGTGGTGCGCAACAGCAAAGGAAAAGCCTCAAAGTTTAACACCGCTTGAAGGGGTGACGGCGCCGTCGGAGAGAGCGGGCTCGCGCTGGCCGAAAGGGAAGTGGGAGGGGCGCCCAATGGGTTCGGTTTAAGAATTTAAAATGTTGGGCCGGGGATTCCTTCCTATAACTCATCTCTCTGTTCAGGCACTCACAAGTGCCTGCCTGGCAAGTGCAAGGTCCTGAGTTCGGAAAAAAAAAAAAAATAGGGCTTAAGAATTTAAAATGTTGGGCCAGGCCTGGGGCGCCTCCCCCTGGGGCTCCCGACTGAGTCATGTCCCGCGTCCACGGTGCGTGGCCTTTCCCACAATTCACTCTGAGAACTGTGTGTATGAGATGCAGCCCCTATGCATGGGCCTTGACGAGCTCCCAGCGAAGAAAGGTTATTTTAAGTCATGCCAGCAGGCCTGGCACTTGGGACTTTGGAATCTTCCAAGGTGGGCCCAGGGCCTCTGTCTTTCTTACCTCTGCTGCCAGGGAGTAGGCCTTAGCACAGGGTTGGAGGGCTGAGGGGGGTTGGGCCTGGGGCGCTGCCCGGGTTCAGGTGAGTGGAGGGGAGTGGTCCTGTCGCCCCAGCTTACCATCTGTCTTAATTCTGCATCTCTGTCTCTTTAATCCTCACCATCCAAGTAAGCGAGTGATAATTTCTGCTGTTTTCAGCTAAAATTAGAATAATGGATTCATCGAATTACAGAGTCAAACCTAGTAAATTGCAGAGGTGGACAGGCTTCTGTGAATCACTGAATCACCTTTCTGGTGATTAATTCCTCGCTACAAAATGCAAGTATTTGTTCCTGCTTCATTATTTGTATGGATCTAAACATATGCCCACAGCCCCAGTGGTAGGTATAGATCCTGACCAAGTGAGGCAGAGCCAGGATCGGGTTCCTGGAGGCTAGAAAAACAGCAGGTTGGGAGCATGACAGCCCTGCTCCTTGTCTGCGATCCTGGAGCCTCATGGCAACTCACACAAGTCACGCACTCTGCGCGCGCGTGCGCGCGCGCACACACACACACACACACACACACACACGGCTCTTCTGTGGAGCTGGAGGCCAGGTCTCTGGGCCTTGTAAGCGGAATCTGACTGGATGTTCCAGATCCCACTTGTTTCAGCAAGTGACTTTAGTAAGGACATCCAAGTGCTGTCACCAGGATGCGTGGTACCAGAGACTCAAATTGGGAATCCTGGCAATCCACGCCCAGTAAATGCCTTGTTATAGAAAAGCATGTTTTAAAAAATATCTATGTAGATTCTTATTTTGCCAAAGAATCTGTTCTAACTGAAAAGGACCAGGATTCCAAGATGTACCCAGGAGAGACAGCTCGTCTAAGGCAGGGAGGCAGAGTGTTCTGCACTCTGCTGACTCTTGCACCCAGTTACTTGTTTTGAGTGACTGCCAAACCCTAAAGTTCAAAAGACAGCCACAGTGCAGAAAGGGGCCAGCATTCCTGGGCGTGGATTCCCAGAATCCTCCCACTTACCGTCAGCTCCTCGCTCTCAGGCCAGCCCCCTCTCCGCCGGGCTTTGGGTTGAGAGGCAGCCTCTTTGCTACAAAGAATGCTAGGGAGAGTCCGCCGAGAGGAGCGTCAGCGTGGTTGGCCACCCACAGACGTGAACCTGGGGTCTGTAAACTCCTCCCGAGTCACGAGTCACGTCTGGGGTTCGCGGTATGAAGCAACTGCATCCCCCTGGAGGCAGCTGTGCTCTTGGCCGGCCACAATACACAAGAGCTGGCGGGTCCTCCTTTGAAAAATGTTCCACTTAACGTAAACATGTTCCAATTACATGTAAACAGCCTGGTTAGGAGCAATTTATATGCCGTCAAGCCGGATTTCATCTGCAAAACTTTCTACTCTCTGCCCTATATTCAGACTTCCACTGTGTCCTCTTGGGTTTTTGTCTCCAATTACACCGCCCCTGAGAAACCAACCAATCCTCTCCATGGGCACTGGCACCGCCCTAACCAAAGCCACCCGTGTCTCCCCTCTGCACCCACCAGAGCTCCTAGCTGCTCTCTCCACGTCAGTTCTATCCTCTCTTCCCCCAAGACCTGTCCTCCACTCTTGTAGGAGAGATGGTCACTACACAGGACTCTGCCTGTCTCACTGCCCTCCCCTGCGAATAGGCTTTTGCTCTGAGGGTAAAGCTCAAGACCTGGCCCTCCGCCCCTGACACCTCTGCAGCCTCACGCTCGGGCTTCCTCCCACCCGGCCCTCTCCTGCAGCCTCACTTACCGACAGCTCCCCTCTAACCGGCACAGTCCCAGTAAGACACCCTGCGTTAACCTGCCTCAAACCCTCCCACTCTCTTGAAACACACTGACCTCATCATTCCTGCCACTTTCGGAAGCAGGTCTGGAAGTTCTCTTTCTTGAGTGACTTTCCCAGATGTGACTTTAAAAAAATACAACCAATGTTGCTGCTGCAAGCCACCCAGTGCAAATTGAGACTCGTACAAACGTTATGGTGTGATGGGGCTGGGGATTTAGCTCAGCGGCATAGCACCTGCTCAGCAAGCGCAAGGTCCTAAGTTCGATTCCTGATACCAAAAAAAAGAAACGAAACCTCAAAACATTATGGTGTGTCCTTCTCCACCTCATTCACTAGATCTAGAGCCATGTGACTTCTGGTTCTTTCCCCAAATCAAAATGACCCTGCAAGGTAAACATTTTGAATCAATTCAGGACATCAAGGCAGCTACAACAGTGCAACTAAAGACACTCACGAGAGACGACTTCAGGAACTGCTTCAGAAAGTGAAAGAAAAACGGGATGTGTTTGAAGCAAGGGAGAGTATTTGCAGGGAGACTGTGTGTCATTTACTGGGATAATTTTTTAAAAGTTAAACGTTCACTATTTTTCAACATCCCTTGTATGTCTAATACCAAGCAGAAGGTCAGACCCAGAGAGGCATCCTCTGTCTCTGCCTGCCCCCGCCCTGACGTCGCTCCCATGTTCGTCCCTGTTTATGCTGGACTCTTTAGCTACTTGCTCTTTAGTCTTGTAAGTTCCCAGAAGCCCTGTCTTCTGTGAGCCCTGCAGCCTGGCCTCCCCCGTCAGTCAGCTGGGGCCACTCCCTTCCCTGCACCCTGAGGCCTCTGCATCTTCACTCACTGCTCCTCCCACTTTCTCTTTCTTTGACTCATTCTACTAGGTGAATTTTTTTTTTTCTGGTACCGGGAATCGAACTCTCGACCTTGCGCTTGCCAGGCAGGTGCTGTCCACTGAGCTAAATCCGCAGCCCCTCTACTAGGTGAATTTCTGTTCTCCCTCCAAGGCCCGCCTGTGTCTCTCTGCCCACTGCCATCTTACTTCCTTCCCCTGGACAGACTCACCTATCCTCTCCCCCCCTCCCACAGCTCTTGCTATTCATCTCTACAGTAGCGGTTATATTACTGTATCGGTGAGTCCTCAGTCAGTGCACTAGTGCAGCTTGTCGGGGGCACACACCACTCCTCTGTGCATATTCAAAAGTCTCCTAAACTGGGCACGGTGGCACACACCTGTAATCCTAGCCTTTGGGAGGCTGAGGCAGGAGGATCGCCATGAGTTTAAAGTCAGCCTGGGCTACATAGTGAGCTCAAGGTCAGCCTGAACTACATAGTGAGAGCCTGTCTTAAAAAAAATAAAAATAGGGGGCTGGGGATATAGCTCAACGGCACAGCGCCTGCCCAGCAAGCGTAACGTCCCAGTTTAGCTCCCAGTTCCAGAAAAAAAAATAAAATAAAATAAAAAATAAAAATAAAAATAAAAAGGTCTCCTGTCTCTAAAACTGGCACACAACTAGCCAAAAGGAGCCCAGAGGGCTCACAACCCACCCTTGCCATGCCAGGCTCCCTTGGTCAGGCATATCCTGGCTGGGCCTGCACAAGATCTCTCTCCATCTACCCTTTTCACTGCGAGCCCCTTCACAATCTGCTGGCCTTGCTCATGTTTGTATGTCCCCAGTGTGGCAGCCAGATGCTCTGGTGACTCCACTCAAGGTTTTAGAAGTTGCAGTGATTTGAATGCAGCTTGTGTGCTGTGGGCATGGACGTGGGGGAGGGGGGGATTCTCACACAAGCAGTATATGAAACCCTGTGAATTGTGAAAGGCCTTCAGAGCAGTGCAGACAGGATGAAGAGAGAAATCTATTCTCCATGGGTTCTGGATTTTTAGCATCTGTTGTTGGAAGTTGTTCACAGCTATGAGAATAAAATAAAAGTAGGTTATCTTGTTTTGCGTTTCTGGATACCATTCTCCCCCCAAAAAAATCCTTTCTTGCCTTTGTAGGAGGTAAATCCGTCTGGGGCTACAGCAGAAATGACTTAGCTGAAAGGATCCACTGAGTGGCCTGCTCCGCAGGGAAGAGGGGACACCTTCCAGGCAGGAGGCCGAGGCAGGGAGCATGGTCAGCTGGAGGGACACTGCTACAGAGAGATGGTCAGAGGCTGTTATCACACAGGGACAGGACCTGGAGGGTCTTGAAGGTTTGGCTCAGTAGCTGAAGGTTTAAAATTCCCATAATTACAGTAAGGATGCGCTCATATATGACTTGATTGCTTTTTTTAGAAAGGGCATATTTCAGGAAGCGGCTATTCATTAGCTTTCCAGTCAGTTCCAATCCAGGGGCAGCACCGGTGGGCTCTTCAGACGACTGAGACTGAATTCCTATACTGTGTTTAATTGCTGAGTTAGCAACCAAACAACTAAGTTGACAGGTTGAGGGGGAAAAATGTGGGGAAGAAAACAAACTGCACAAGTTTTTTTAACTGGAAGATTGGTTCACATGCATCAGGAAAATAGCGAGAGATTTCAGTGGTTGCCATCTCGATTTTTATTTCTGATAAAATAATGTAAACAGTCTGTCTGATCTTACCTTCTACTCAGTTAGTCTACTTACTAAACTTTATACTTAGTGATCTTTTTGTTTGTTTGTTTTCCGGTACCGGGAATCGAACTCAGGACCTCACACTTGCCAGGCAGGCGCTATGCCACTGAGCTAAATCCCCAACCCCTATACTTAGTGATCTTTTTGTTTGTTTGTTTTCCGGTACCGGGAATCGAACTCAGGACCTCACACTTGCCAGGCAGGCGCTATGCCACTGAGCTAAATCCCCAACCCCTATACTTAGTGATCTTTTTGTCAGGTTGAAGCACATTTAACCTTCACAACATCTTCGATATAGTTACAATTAGCCCTGGTTTACAGATGAAAAAACTGGGGTTCAGATCTTATTAGCCAAATTCAGATCCCAAAGACACAGAATGAGTCCTGTGTCTTGAGTATAATGAAGACAACTGTGTATAACACCAAGCCACACCATCAGTGGGTGGCAGTCTCAATCAGAACAATCGACATGTACAAATTAGAAAAGGAGGACTGAGACAGAAGAAGGAGCGGACAGCTAGCTGATAGTGATCAAAGAAACCAAAGGAGACAGGGCTTGAGATGGGCCTTTAGATCTGTGCAATAGTTATATGCAAAAAGAGTTATTCTGAGGCTAATAAAGGTTTTAAAAAATATTTATCACATTCACAACAGGGCTGTAATTCATATGTCTCACTGTCAGGCAGCTAGAACCATCGGTGGTACACGCATGACTGTCCTATCAGGCGGCATGGCACTGTCCCGGCAGGTGGTACAAGCTGCCTGATGGGACATTCATGCATGTACTCCTGATGGTACAAGTCACCCAAAGGGATAGACATGCATGTACCACTGGTGGCACAAACAGATGGCAACATGTTAAACACCTCTTTATTTTGAGATAATAATAGATTCACATTCTCTAGTAAATAATACAGAGAGATCCCAGGGTTTCACTAAGTCACTAAGTTGCCCAGGCTGGGCACAAACTTGCAATCCTTTTGCCTCAGCTTCCCATAGAGCTGGGGATTACAGGTGTGCACTGCCATACCTGGCTTGCTCCAGTTCTTCTCATACTCATTTGTTGTGTATTTATTCCTATGACATTTAACCACATGTAAAGTTATGTATCCAGCACCACAGTCAAGCTAAATGGTCCCAGGATCCTTTGTTCTGCACTTTTAGAGCCATACCCACTTCCCTGCTCTCCTCCTCCTACCCATCTCTGAACCCTGGTAACTCACTACTCTTTCCATATTTTTGTCAATTCAAGGATTTTATGTAAATGAGCAGAACTGCATAGACATAGCTCCAAAGAAAATGTACAGATGGCCAATAAGCTCCATACCATTAGCCATCAGGGAGGGATGTGCAAAGCAAAGCCACAGTGAGATACCACTTTCCACCTGCTCAGGTAGCTTCCATCAGAAAGACAGTGTCGGCCAGATGTGGGAGAAATGGAACCTCATTCAGTGCTGGTGGGAAGGTGAAATGAGGCACATGCTTTGAGATACCATCTAGCAGGTTCTCAAAAGAGTTCAAGCTGGATGTGGTAGAGCACACCTGTAATCCCAGTACTTGGGAGGCCAAGGCAGGAGGATCACCGTGAGTTCGAGGCCAGCCTGGGCTACCTAAGTGAGTTTAAGGCCAGCCTGCACTACAGAGTGAGACCTTATCTCAAAAAAAAAAAAAAAAAAAAAATCAGAGCCAGGGATATAGCTCAGCAGCACAAGTGCCCGCCTGGCAAGCACAAGGTCATGAGTTCAGTTCCTGGTACCAAAAAACAAAAAACAACAAAAAAACCCAAAAATCAAACAAACAAAAATAAAACATCAAGAGTCCAGTGATGGAATCCAGTGATGAGATGACCCTGCCATTTCACTCCTAGAAATATTCCCAAGAGAAATGAAACCATATGTTCACATAAAAATTTATATATGAAATTTATATCATCTTTATGTGCAATAAGCTTAAACTGTAAGAAACCCAAGTGTTCATCAGTAGGTCAGTAGATAAGCAAGTTGTGTGATATCCAAACACAATGTAGTGCTCCTTATCAGTGAGAGGAATGAACTATCAACACTTATCATTAACATGCGCTGAATTCAAAATTATTTTGCTAAGTGAAAGAGGCTAGGTTTTAGAAAGTGTGTACTCTATGATCTCATGTGTGTGTATATATATATATACACACATATATTTCTAGAAAATGCAAACTATG